ATGTGAATTATTCGCCGCGTCATAATTCGAAGTCGGAAGGCTCTTTCCGCGAGCATTGTTCTAAGGATTTGCTTATTTTGTCGCATGCTTCTACACTATTGTAAGGAGCATGTGCATACCTGTGTAGATGGATGGATAATGAGGTACGGTGGTGCAACACTGGCTAACCAGGGTTCATCGCAATATTCAGAAATGTTTTCCTGCCAAAATATTCCCGTTCTTACGGTTTTGTGACAACGAGTTTTCACAGTATTCACCATCCCTCTTTGCGTTGCATTATATGTTCGCCTGTAATTGCATAAGCGGACTCCCAGACCTCATTACAGTTGCATGGGACATCATTAGCTGGGCAGCGTGATATTTTTGCCGGGTAACAACGGTAAGAAGTAGCTTTCCTCCGGGCTGAGTGGTTTAAGAACGATTAAGGCAATAACAATTGTGACTTACACGTGGCCTTCTCTACGGGTAAGCCATTGCGAACATGCTAAGTTTAGAGATGTTTCATTCCATGTAACGTCCGTGCATCAGCAAACGTGTTTAAAATTCCCCAGAGTAATAGGAACTTCCACTTGCTCCCCTGGCTTGGCAGAGCATATCGCTTAATATAAGTTTTACCCCTTTTCTCAACTATTATATCACACAAAAAGGCCCCTTACTGACAACCAACTGAATAAATCGACTTAAAGTGATCCATCCTCGGGCGAGCTCCCTGGGAAGGTTTGGTGTCACCAACGCAACAACAGGGTACGCTGCAGCATGGCCATTCTGGCAATTACGCACAGCAGGCGAGAAGACAGTTCGCCAATGGGGGCAGCTTTGTGCCTGGCTGCAACAACCGCACAATCGGTGAGAGAACTTGTGCAGTTCGAATCCCACGGCCATTTGAGCGAAAAGTTCCTTTTTTCTTCCTATGGTATCTGAAGAAAAAGCTGTCCATGCAGCTGCGTGGTCGGAAGTTAGTACCAGCCGTTTTGGCGCCCCATTGCTCTTCATTGCCTATCTTGCTTGCAAATAAGTGATAGCTCACAGCCGAAAGAACCCACCTACATTTATCAATAATTTTTCCGATTGGTATCATCATGTGAACAGTTTATGTTGTCATATGAACATGCACATGGTGAAATGTGGTGCACGTGCCTCCTCACTGATCAAACATAGTACTAGTATTATACGTGCGTGACTACATTTTGACACTGAAAAAATCTCGTGATGGGAACATGAAACAGTTGATTGAAAACACGCGACATTATTTTATGTCATGCATCAACTCCAGCGCACCTACGGCACGCTTGTCTGGGTTTTTCAGTGAAAAAACTTTGAGTCGTGCACTATACCATCGCGAAATGCCGCGCACACCACTGTCACATCCATATAACATGGGCACCAAAATGATACGAGCGGTGTGTGATGGATAGCATACTCTCTTACAATGACGGCGACCACTTTATGTCCCTAAACTGCCGCTTAAAAAGAGTCAAATAACATCGTGAAGGCCGTTTGACCAAACGAGTGTTTTAGTGTTCGGCGTGGTCTGCGCTGTAAAGCCTTAACTTCATCCCCACTCATCACACGAGGCTTCCGTAAAAAGCATAGGGTGGCGATAGTTTGTGGTGTCAACCTACCGTTAACGACCCAGAGCTATGCAGCAGGGGTGGGCCGGGCGTAAATGGGGCGCGGTCCAGCGGCGCGAGACAGAGCTCGCGCGCCCGCCGGCAGAGGGCAAGGGGAGCAGGACGGAGGGGCGCGCGCGGCGCTGTCGGGGGGCGCGGCGCGGCGCTGGCGGCGGAGGGGCGCGCCGTCCGCCGCCGCTGTCACCGCGCGTCTCTAATGATGTAACTCAAGCCGTGACGAAGATGGAATGGAGCGAATAAATTAAATATAAACAAATAGACGCGAATTCGGGATAGCTGCGCTTCATTTGCGCATTGCGTGGCGCTGAAATGCGGAACAGGGGCGCGGGCGGGTGCTCTGGACGCTTTGGAACCTGACGAACGACAGGGGGCGAACGGCGTGAGAAAAATGTCGAGCTTTGACCTCACCTTGTCACGCTCCCCAGCGCCGCTTTGGGGGAGATGGCATGCCCAGGAGCGATTTAATCTCGAGGGTATCTGTAGCTGAACATGGCAGTGAATACCACTGCTGACGAGCCTAGCAGCTTAGGCAGTGGCAGCCAGCTCGTCGCGAGCGGCCATCTAAGCTGCCGCCTGACCTCGTCGAAAAAACAATACGCGATCATGGCCGGTAAGCGAGGGATATTGAAGAAATTGAAGCTACCAAGAAGAAACAGGTTGGCGCATGTTCCTTCTGACCGGACGGAATCGGAAAAATCCGTTGTCTCCCTTTTTATCAATGTTTTATTTTGGTTATTTCGTCAATTTTCATTTTACCGCAACTACCAGTGCATTCAATTTTAAAATACCAATTTCATGTTAATAGGCCTCTTGTTTCTTCATTGAAAATGAGCATTAGCATATCCGAAGAGAGAACAAGGGTATGCATCAAGCGATCCTGCCTTGATAGCAGAAGATGCGGAGAGAATATTTATGTGACGAAATGCCCCGTCCCAAGGAATGGCGGCACGCACATCGGGTCAAGCTGCTATTTTCTTTGAAGGAAAATTAACCATATCGTAAGTGGATATTTTGAAAACAGATTATGACGTACCAGTGCTGGACAATTTCCAGCGAATGAATAACATGAAGGACGCTGCTGGCTGAAGCCTGTCATCAGCGTCCTTGGTAGCGACTGTATGATTTACATCGGGAAAGAAAAACACACATCAAATACCATTGGGTGTGCCGTCATACGTAATCAGCCACGAAAACACAAGTCACGACAACGAACACCGAACATAAATATTAACAAGATTTCTTAGGAAAGCATTTAGCATATCAAAGTAATGCAGCGCAATTTTCCGCCCAAATACTTTCTGTTCAAGCACGCCGCCTTCTCCGGAGCTTGGCTTAATGGCTACGAAGCAAGCATGCATGAACTTCGGTGATAATGAAATGTCATAACAATGAGCCTCACAACAATAATAATGTGATCCAATGCACTTGTCATAAACAATATAGAACACGTATTGGTGTTTCCACTCGCCCACACACCACGACCTAATTGGTCGTAGCAAATGCAAATGGGCACTCTATTTCTATGCTTTCTTTTGTTCCTAGCGGCGGAAATGGACATGACGACTGCAATAGATTCAACCTGTTTGACAACTGGGTTATGTCACGCTTACTGTGCCTGGCGGACTACTGATGTCCACTAACTTCCACACCTTCAGCTTACCTTCAAACACATCGCAATTCTTTTAGCGCTGTATATCTGCTCACTTACGTTATTTCTGTCAGATGCGAGCATGGCTCATCCAATACCATGAGATTCTACGTAGTCAGACACTTTCGACGCGTGATCGATGCTGTTCGGTTAATACAACTCCATGAAACAATCGCAATGAACCGTTGTGCAAGTTTAACAGCATATAGAAGCATTCAGGTTTGCCAAAGAAGTTGAAAAAAGAGAAAAAGAACGAAAACCGATTGCAGGCCAGAAGGCTAGTGCACCTTTTCCGTGTGGATTGGTTAGGCTACCACGTATAATTAATGTATGTGATGTACATGCACAGAGTTGGATGCTCCTCCGTTGCATAATATTCCACAGAAGTTCAAGTCATAACGTTTATATCAGCTCAACGTGCATGAGAAGAAAACGACTTAAATTTTGTCATGATGGGTCCAATATAAACCGAATTTACCCCGTACCTGTTTTTACTAAGCTGGCTGAATGTGTGATCGAGTCCTGAACCTTGTTTAAATTGAAATGGACAAGTCAGGACTTAAAATCATATCCAAGTGAATGTCAACCACTTCAAAGCCACGCCTCTCATTCTTCCCCTGATTTTTAAAAAAAATTCTCCACCGTTTGCAAGAGTTTTCAATGAGGCGCCATGCTTCAGACCCGTAATGGCTGAAACCCGGGTGTTCGCGCCAATGTCGTTTACTTGCGGTGATGAGTGGCCACATTCCGTCGACAGCCGTTGGACCTTCGTTCTCCCGGAGCCATGAACGTTGCCTGCACGATCCAGATGCCAAGACTCCGCCAGGTGCCGCGGGTCAAAATCTGGCGGACAGAAGGGTTTTCAAAGCATCACTTTACATACGAAGCTTATGCCTAATGTTGAACTCCTGCAAGGTTCGAGGGACTGAACCCCCCCCCCCCCCCCCCGCCTCCGCACCCCTACCAGTGGCGCAACCCTCACCAAGGAAGTAGGAGGCCGGCTGGTACTGGCCCCTGCGCCCGGCCCGGCGACGCCGGCGAAGCCCCGCCCATCACAGCCAATCAGACGGTCGGCCGTCCGGCAGACACAGATTGCCGGGTTCTGATTGGTCACGAATTAACTCGATCCAACAAGTGGTTCCTTCCGCGATTGAATTCAGGACCATTTGTATCCTAAGCCGGGTGCATGGCTGTAGTGTGGCAGCATCGACGAGTGGTATAGAAGACCAACATCTAAAAATAGTCTGTGAGTAAGCACAAACAAAGAAAAGGTAAAACGGTTTCCAGACCTTTCTTTATTCAGGGATCACTCTCGGAACGCACACACTTCAGTCTCCGCGCTAGCATTCCCCACCCGTTGCTCGACCTCGTGACCCGAACTTCTGACCTTTGACGGATGCTGACCCGGTGTTGGCCAGCTGTGCCGACACTGACCCGTCGTCCCGCTCCCGGCAGCCGGCGCGTCTCTGACCATGCACCTAGAGCACGACACGGCCGGGCTGCTGCAGGAGCAGCTGTCGCCCGCGCTGGCCGCTGACCCGCTGCGCGCCTTCGAGCTGCCCGACGACGCCGCCTCGCTGCTGGGCGCGCTGCTGCAGCCTGAGGCGCGGCCCGAGCTGGGCTGGCAGCCGGAGCTGGCCGAGCCGCGGCGCCCGAGCGACGCGCTCTCGCTCAGTCCGCTGGTGACGCCGCGCGGCTCGCTGGAGCTGGGCCGCCGCCAGAAGCGGCCGCTCTCGGCGTCGCCGTTCCCGCTGGAGGTGACCGACGGCGTGGGCCCGGTGCGCGGCTCACCCACCTGCCTGCTGGCCGAGCCGGCCGGCCCGGCCGCCGCGCCGCCCGGCAACTACGGCCATTCGCTGCCGCCGTTCCAGTCGCTGCGGCCGGCCGACGGCGTCGCCTGGCCGCCCTGCCAGACCAACTACCTGGTGCTGCCGCAGCAGCAGGCGCAGCAGCTGCAGCAGCAGGTTCTGCCGCTGCGCCAGCAGGCCGGCGTCCAGCTGAAGCAAGAGGCGGTCGTCTGCCGCGTCAGCCAGGACCCCGCCCGCTGCCAGGTCAGCCAGCAGCCCGCCAGCTTCCAGTACAAGCAGGAGCCGTCAGTGTACCCGTACAAGCACGAGCACCCGGGCTACCCGTACAAGCAGGAGCCGTCGGCGACTCCGTACCGCCAGGAGCGGCCAGGCGGCCCGTTCGCGCCGGACTCGAGCCCCGACCGTCAGTACGGCCCGGACCCGAGCGGCGGGCGCCTGTACCCCGTCGGGCCGCTCGACTCGCCGGCAGAGGTCAGCTCCAGCAGCGGCCCGCTGACCTGCCTGTGGGCCGGCTGCGCGCTGCAGTACGACCGCCAGGCGGCGCTCGTCAAGCACATCGAGAAGGTGCACGTGGACAGCCGCGGCGGAGACGAGTACACCTGCTTCTGGGCCGACTGCCCGCGCCAGCAGAAGCCCTTCAACGCCCGCTACAAGCTGATGATCCACATGCGCGTCCACTCGGGAGAGAAGCCCAACCTGTGCTCGGTGAGTACGCTGGTTTGTGCTCGGTGAGTACGCTGGCTTGTGCTCGGTGAGTACGCTGGTCTGTGCTCGGTGAGTATGCTGGTATGTGCTCGGTGCGTACGCTGGTGTGTGCTCGGTGAGTACGCTGGTCTGTGCTCAGTGAGTATGCTGGTCTGTGCTCGGTGAGTACGCTGGTCTGTGCTCGGTGAGTACGCTGGTCTGTGCCCGGTGAGTACGCTGGTCTGTGCTCGGTGACTACGCTGGTCTGTGCTCGGTGAGGACGCTGGTCTGTGCTCGAAGCTGCGCCGCGGATGGAGGAGCTCATCCAAAACGAACAAAGCTTATCCGAAGCGCACAGGCGCCGGTTGCACAGTTTTCAGGTAGCATTGTGCGCACAAATATGCCGAATCCCACTCAGTTGTAGCAGCGCTTTTACCTGTGAAAGGCTTGGAGATAGACCAACGCACTTGGCTTATTTGACCTGTGCCCGCCGTCAGATCCGACCGGCTAGACAGTGTCTGGGCCAGAAACCACAAAGTTTCACCAATTCGTCCGAGGCGTCAATACAAAATAGTTGAACTAGCGATTCAAATTGGCATGCTTCTGTCCCTCCGTGGTACGATAAAAAAAGGGCAGCAGGAAAGAGAGCTCAATTTTTGGCGGCTACCTGAAAAACATCTTCCCTCAATTAGGGTGTGTTACTAGCTATCGCTGCGTCCGATCGAAAGTGCACCCGGGTCACCTGGAGCAAAACGTAAGCAAGTGGTCTTAGCAAAGTCGCAGTTTTAAAAAGCTGTCAAAGCTGTTGATGATACAAGTCATTGAAATTACATAGCCGTGCCCATCAGTGTGTTGAATGACAGCAATCACGAAACAAAGGATTGAATGGCCTTGACGCTCTCGAAATGAGCAGGGCTGCTGAACGAATATCATTATTCATGGGACCTAGGAAAGCTATGATAATTATACTTTGGTCACAAATCTAGTGCATTTGGATGCAGATAAATAAAACCAACGCCAAGATTATCAGGAAAATGTCTGTTTTTATAGATGAGCGGGCAGATTGATGATATGATCCTGTGAAAACCGCTCATTTTAATCAGAGATGTGACCTGTTCATTTCAATTTGGAAAAAATCAGATATCGGTTTCAGAATTGTAACCACGAAACGTTGGCCAACGATATGCGAATGGCTTGGCGCCTCCTTCAAACTATATATATATATATATATATATATATATATATATATATATATATATATATATATGACTTCATTTTTGGTTACAGATGAACGTGTGAGCTAATGTGTCCGTCGTATATCTTGTATTGCTTAAACGCGGCCAGAGAAAGCCTCAGCGTAACTGTGTCAGCCGCTAATACGCTATTCCTCCGCGTGGCATCAAAGCCAGTGCTCCACCTTTGGGGCATATTTCAAACACATTCTTAAGTGAAACCTCAGGACCAGTTATGTGTATTAGTAGCACTGCGTAGTGCCACTGCTGCACCACCAAGGTAAAGTAAGGATATTATTTTTAAATATTTCCTATCGGGATGTCAATGAAATTTCTTTGGCAGGAGCGTCTACCACGGATCGCAATTCTGAGGTATTCTGGCGGATATTTCTGGCGGAAATCTGAGGTATTCTGACGGATTGCAGGGAAACTTGTAGCGCCGATCAAATCGTGCGCGTCTGATATAACAACAAGTAAAAGATGCCAAAGGTTGCATAATCCTTCTAACTACGGACTGACGCGCTGTACTTATAGATGTTGCATAGTCATGACCTGCAGATTTGGTAACCCCTCACTGATTTGGTAACACCTCACCTCACACAGGGTGTTCGTGTTTCTGAGAAACCAGAATACGTTAGTCCTGCAATCTAGATATCTTAATTGTTCGCATTGCACAACACCAAGTACTTCATCTTTTTGAACACGTCGAACACATCATGTCACTTCGTTTACATAAAAACCGTTTTACAGTTCAGATCTTACAACAAATACATCATGTTGTATGTGAAAATGGCTTTACCGTTCAAGAGAGTGCTTCGCATTTGCATGAGGTTTGAACTGAAATAGCCATCTTGAAGATCGTTCTGTGCAGTTCACAACCCTCCCCTTGCTAAGACCTAAACCCCGCTAGTTCCTAAGCTACATGCCCGAGAAGATGTTCAAACTTTTTTGAGGCGATATATCAAAGTCACCCAGGCCCCCATGATGCCATAATAACATCATTCAAATCCTGCCATTTCGTTGGTCATGCGGCGATCAAGGCCAATAAAAACATAGCTGTCGAGTCGAACGTGTCTGGCATTCGTGAGCACGATCTCCAGACATTACGGCCGTCGAATAGTTCTCGATCAATGTTGTGCAAGGTCCGACGACATAATTAAACCATGACGTGTTTAGGAGCATGCTCCCTAAACAGAAGAGCTTTTTCCACTTTAGAGCATATCAATAGTTACAAGTGAGCATATTTCTTCATGTTTAATACTCGCCGAAATAACTTCAAATATGGAACATTCGCTTTAAGATCTTATGATAGATAGATCACCACGTGATCGATCAATGAAAAAGCGCAGACCGCTCAACGTGACATGCGTCAACCACCGAGCACACCTGCGCGCACACAGGACCAGAGACGCCGACTCCGCCGGCTTTTTGCCGGCCTCCCTGACATCTCCAAGGCTGCCGCCTGGAGCGCAGGCCCGCTCTCGGTCTCGCGTGTCGCCCCCATGCAATAGAAGCGCCGCAAGCACGCCGCTGCAACAGCTGCATCATTAACTCAGGGCCAGGCGGCCGGCTCCTGCCCGGCATTTTTGCTCGGCGCGGGCGGACAAAAACTGCGGCCGACCCTCGTAGGAGCGGCGAGACGGGTGGTTGTGATGGGTCCGCGCGACGGCCGGCGGCGACTCAAAGGATACATTTGACGACTTCTTGCAGAGAAAAAGGATGCACCGCAAGAGGCTCTTGGAGTCGAAAGGAAACTTGATGCAGAGCGCCCCGCACAAACACGCATGTTTTGTGGCGTGAAAGAAACCGACGCCTGTTTATGCAATTAATTAAGTTGTGAAATTAATTGAGGCATGGATTAGGTGGACTTCGTAGCCATAACACGTAATGACGTCTAATTTATTGGTAATGCAAGCGGGGCGTTGTAACGGCCATCACACACTCCCTGCACATGGGAACACAACGTAACGATCAAGGTTTGTTGCTGCACTGCGCAGGGCTGCGCAGGACTGCGCAGGACCTCCATGTTTTTCTCCAAGGGCCCTGGCCATCTGTGATTTCTGTGAGGCATCCTGGCCACGGGATAACGCGCCTGGGTCCTTATTCGACTACGGTCACACCGACAAAACTATAACAGCTTTCTGTTTTCAGTACGACGGCTGCAACAAGGCGTTCTCGCGTCGGGAGAACCTGAAGATTCACCTCCGATCTCACACGGGCGAGAGGCCGTACAACTGCGAATTTCCCGGCTGCCCTAAGGCGTTCTCAAACAGCTCTGACCGCGCGAAGCACCAGCGGACTCACAAAGATGCGGTGAGTTTTCAACTGCAAATCCCGCCCTCTCTCTCTCTCCCTCTCTTCCTCTCTCTCCCCTCTCTCTCTCTATCTCTCTTCTCTCTCTCCCGCTCTCTCTCCCCCCTCTCTCCCTCCCTCTCTCTCTATCTCTCTCCCTCTCTTTCTCTCCCTCTCTCTTTCTCTCCCTCTCTCTTTCTCTCTTTCTCTCCCTCTCTCTCTGTCTCTTTCCCCGCCGTTTTACTCGTTTCCTTACCAAGCGTTCAGCTTCTCCGCTGCACGAGTGGTCGTTTAGAAAAGAGACACTGGTTGAAATCCTGGCGTACTAGGGTATGCCGTGTTCTATCGTAGAGTGGAAGCTAGAAGAAGCAGCCTTCAGCACCAAACCGGATGCTCAGTAAGGGAATTCTCCTTGTGGTAACCAATCCAGCCATATGCGCTCGACAGGATATCCTCATCCTTTGCAAAAACATGCCGCTGTCTCGGATATCCTCCTTTTCCCCACTCCACTGCAACAACTGATAGAGGGCGTCGACGCTGCTAGTGAAGCAAGACCATCTGCGAGCCACTAGCTCTATCGCCCCCAAGTCAGACCAGACCGAGGAGTGGCTTCGCCGCCCCTGCAGCAAGCGGCGGCAGATCTGGGCCGCCGGTCCTGAGCCAGTGGCAAATGTACAGTGCGAGTCCTGAGCCAGCAGCCGGGCTGCCAGAGGCTGAGCAACGGACTGGAGACCTCACGGCTGATCCTGGCTGTCGGCTGGCTCCTACCCCTCACTGCTATCCTTACTGATCCCACATCTCCCTCTGCTACCCATGTTGGCTCCTATAACTGCCGCTACCCATGCTTGCTGTTATGACCGTTGCTAGCCATACTGGTTATTATCTCTCGAAACTACCCAGACAACTCCCATCTCGCGCTGCTGCCCTTACTGGCTCCTATTCTCGCTTCTCCTGCCCACGGTATCTCCCCGGACGTCTGTTGGACTCATAGCCGTCCGTTCAGACCCTGAGCAGCGGACCCATTGACGCACTCGCCTCAACCAGACCAACTCATCGACCTGAGCCCGACGCACCGACTCGGGCCCAACTCCACGACTCGGGCCCGGCCGACTCGGACGCGCAGCTGCGCACCGCAGCGGCGTCGGCGTCGGCGGGCGGTCGTGACTCAGAGCGCCGTCTGAATGAACGGCGGCGGTTTGGAGGCTGACGCCCTGCCGTCGGCCGCCATGTGCCGGCACCGCCATCTGGGTGTGTGCCGGCGTGTGTGTGTACTCTATTAGTCAGCCGTCACCGCGCAAGCCGGCCCGCCGGGTGCCAGGCCGCCCGTTTGCCGCTACTCATGTTGCGAGGCGCAGCTGCCGCGGTGGAGAAGCGTGGCGTCGCCGGGGCGTGGGCCTTGAAACGCTGCGCACTGCTCGAGTAACTGGATGCGGTTCGTGGTATGTTCGTTTGATAGCGTGAGTCACTTTCTGAACGGAAGTGGCAGAGGCGATCGTGGCGCTGACGGATGCTGGTGGTGTCGAGCGTTGCACTCGCCCGTCGGAGTTTCAAACTGCCGACGGAGATATCCGAATCAGAGGACTGCACGTGAAGCAAGATTGTGTCACTGTACTGGACTTGGATAGACTTTTCTCGACCTCTCTGTACCACAGGTCGCGTTGTCGCCTATGGGCCAAGATAAAGCTGATCTGGCAGCTGCTAACTGAAGGCTGACATTTGTCTGTCTCGGTGGCTCAGTTGGTTAGAGCGCCAGCCGCCCGATCTACCTATCCGTGGTGGGATGGGTGCGAGTCACTTCGGGCGTTCGGTACTTGACCTTGACAGGTATTGCCTGTGGTCAGTGGAGGCAGCCATGCTATATGTCGGTTGACGTCGGGGGCAGGACGGACTGCGCCGAACATCGAGTCACGTTGAACTTTCGCCACCAAATTCTGCCGTTGCCCTGGAATTACGCGGTCGGATGGCAGGGGTCAGTGCTCGCACAAAAAGCACTACATAGCGTGAGCTTTGGACCCAAAATCCATCCATTGGAAGGCACGCACTAACTGTTTAAAACAATGACGAGCCACCTGGCGTCAACCTGACACCGAAGCGAGACCAACAGTCAGAAGCTTGCTCCATGACGGCAGTGGCGGTCAACAGCCAGAGCTGCTGTTGTCAGCAGCCAGCGGCCGCGGGATGCCAGCGGCGGTCATCGCCGCGGGAGATCCACCGGAGCGGGGCTGTTGTCAGGCCGGTTCAGCCGGAGCGGTGGCCGGCCGGCGGCGCGGCCGCGCCGCGGCTGGGAATGTTTGGCCGCCGCGGCTCGGATGTCCTGCAGCGTGCTGCAGCCGGCGGCGGCGACGGCGGCGGAGGCGACTGCGCCACGTCCGGGTGCCGGGCCCGGCCGGCGCGGCGGCGCGGCTGACGGCCACATGGCCGTCGCAACGGGCACGTCACAGCGCGCAGTGCCGGCACCTGCCGGACTGCGCCCGCTGGACTGCCCCCGGCCGTGGCGGAGGGTCATGACCTCGCCACGCCGACGCCAACGGCCGCGAGCCATGGCCAGCTGGGCACCATCGCCGGCCACCGGGCCGTGTGAAGAGGAAGACGCCGCCCGGCCACGTGGTCCGGTCATTTTCAAGGGCACTGTGGCGTCGCTGCTCAGGCTACTGCACGTTTGAAAAACGCGCTCTGGCGGCACGTGGTTGTACAGAAGCATAAAGCCGTTCTAGATTACTTGGGAATTGCTGTGTACAGGCACAGTCCAGGAGAGGGGGAAGGGATGCCGTTTCCCCTTCCTCTTAAACACCACATTCCCACATTCCTCCATGGAAGACTCTTGCTACAAAAACGTGATGGGTCCTCACCGAGGCCGTCCTCTCGCCCTGGAGAAAACTCCGGTTGCGCCCCGTTTCTTGGTACTCGGGACTGGGGACGTCTTCGTACTCAGGACTGCGGACTCCTGTACAACCACGGTACTCAGGAATGGTACTCCGGACTGGGAATGACTTGGTGGCGAAAAGCCAAATGCTGAGTAGATAAAACGTACATGAAGATCATAAGTTAATTTTCCTCACCATGCAACCTGAACAGCACGTTTTCATTCCTATTAGTCGTCGAAATGCGTTAACATTTAGCCAGACACGCTATATTGCTCCGCGGCTGGGAATAGCTTCAGAGTATGATTCACAGCGCATCGGGCTGATTCCCGTTCCAATCAGCGCAACGTAACTTTAAGTGGACTTCGATTTTAACCCGTGGAGCGAGGACATCCATGGAATGGACCCCGTTGGAGTTGACAACGTTAGTGGCAGTTTTAGAGTCACGGTTGTGAGTTTTATACAAGCCTTAACGTTTATCAGCAAAGCATCAATGTTGATGGCAAATTATGCAGATCCGTGAACATCCCATTGTGTTCACATATAATGCTTTATTATCCACATGCATCGTTTGCATTTCTATTTGAGTTTACTCGCCGATGTTTAAGGAAGCTCAAATGGGACTCCGACTCTCAAAAAATTATGAAACAGCAACCCCTCCCTGACTGAACAAAAACTTTGTTTGATTTCCTGGTCGCCTCTAACCGCATGCAGAGTCAAGCATAAGCAAGGGCGGATCTGAAGCACAGCCTTGATAACCAAAGTTCAAAGATCTATCATGATTTTCAAAACCTCATCGAATATCGATTACTTTTGCATCAAGGATGTTCTAAAATAATCTTCCACAGTCAAAAACTGCTCCGACTGTCTCAGATGTCCAGAAACGTGTCGTATTTACGCCACTTGGCCATGTCAGAGGAGGTGGTGCGGTCCGACTGGTTGCTATGCATCCGCATGTGAGCACAAATTTACTTCTCGCAGCGTTCAGGGGAGTCGGATGCCTATCCCCAAACGTCATGCACTCGCGCGCTATTTTCTCCTCAACGCAAACAGACAGTATACCCACACGGTCCAATCCTGACGGAGCTTGGCTATTTCCGGTTGATTCATCGTCTTCTCTGCGTAGGTACCAGCGAGTGGGCTGTCTCTCCTCGTTTCGTCCCAACCG